CACACACACACACACTCGCACACTCTCACACACACTCGCAAAGACTCATACATGGGCCAATTTTACAGAAACCAAATAACCGACCATCAATGGACTGTGGGAGTGAAACAGAGCACCTAGATAAAACCCACATGAACAAAAGAAGAACATACAAATTCCACACATATAGTGCCCCAGGTCCCAGCACTGCAAGGCTGCAATGCTAATCACTGCACCACCATATTGCCCTGCTTAAATACACATTCTTCCCAAATATATCCTTCTACTAACATGACTTTTATGATAACACAGAAGCTGTTCTTCTTCAAAATTATGCCATGCAAGAGAACCTTGTTCTTGGTCTTGGACACCAGATTCTGGTTATGCAATCGGAGCAATATTATAGAGAGTGGCTGTCAAATTTATTTTAGGAACGTCTGATTACTAGACCTCTGACTTAAAACCTTCTCTCCTGGAGCCTCGGTCATGAATAGTCTGCCCAACACTGCCTCATTCTCTCTGCACATGGTTGTAGGGTTTGTATCTGTGATCCACAGCATGAAAACATACAAATAAGGCATTCCAACACCTACTGTAGCACAAATCAGGTAGGTATAAAAACTGATCTGCTATCATAATTTTAAAAATAATTACCATTCTATAGCATCATTTAATTCATACTGAGCTGACTTCAGGACGTAGGCTTTAATCTCATTTTTCACTTCAGGATCAATCTCATGTGCATCTACCAGTTCTTGTACTTTTGTATCCAGGAGTTTCAAAGCGTTGTCCTGCATAAAAAAAGAAACCGCATTGTGTCAGTTTTGAGAACTGTCAACACTGCACATTTTCACCATGATGGTTTATCCATTGATGTGCTGTTTCCAGCTTCTGAAAGCCACACAATTCGGTACTGTGTGATTCCCAGTTGAGCTTGTTTTAATATTTCCAGCACTGCTTGAGGTCCCGGACCAAGGAAACACATTCGATGAGATGACGGACAATGATGGGGAAGACAGAGAAATTAGAGCAATATGAATTCTAATCTCCTGAACTTTCATTTGCAGTTTATTTTCAGTAGCTTCAGGGAACCCTATATATTTTTAATCTGGACTGATCACCTGTTGACGAAATGTTGATCATTTATAATCATTTTGCAATTGTAGTGTTATTACTGTTATCACATGGTGTCTGAGACAGCACTATGTCATTGCAGAAAGGCAGTGTGCTGATGGTGCTAATAAGAACCAGAAGCGTATTTCAGAAGAAGCAGCAGTTGAAACCAGCTGGAAAGAATAAGTGAACAGTTGGTCAGTAAAGCAAGGACAGTGAGAGGAACAAGGGATTTACAAGCCAACTCAATATTTATTTAATTTGGACCCCAATAAAATCAGTCACCTACCCTACTTGGTATACCCATACTTTGTATGTTCTTGATCTTTTTATTCTAGTTTTGCTTAATTTTATTTAAGACTACGAAGTGAGATAAGCGTGCTATAAATTAAAAGATTCACTGTCAGGTTTACTGTCATGGCAAAGCTGTGGAGTGAGCCAGCATTAGTCATGATAGGGCACCTGGTACTGTCAGCTGTCTCACGCAGCGTGTGGGTTCATCCTACTGTACATCTATCAGTACAGCAGCAGGGAACTTGTGCAGCAGTGCACTGTCCGGGAAAGCTGAGCAGTGGTGCGTCTGCCCAGAGCCTGGGCTGAGTGCAAAGAGGTGTGGACAGAGAATCTGCAGGCTGTTCAACTGTGCTGAAGTGCCGGGAAAGTTGTGCACACAAGTGGTGTGGTTCTGCAGTTGACTAGGGACTCACTGATGCAGTAGAGCAGTTTATCAGGTAGTGTAGTGGAAGGGTTGGTGTTGGCTGGTTGGTATTAGCAGCATGTTTGAATGTGACCATGAATGGTGTGCAGTATGAAGGTGAGCAGAAATACAGCAGGAGGAGAAGACCAGTGTGTGATATCTAAGAACCCAAAAGAGCTCGGACGGAAAAGAGCTTTTGAACTGAAGACGGTATTCTCTTCTATCCTGTCATGTCCCAGTGACAGAAATACAGTATGTGCACAACAGCCAGTGGGCTGGGCTGGCAAGGGAGGAAGTGGTCGTTGAGTTTGTGAAAATGGGCGATGCAAGTGTGGGGGAGATGGTGATGAACTTCGGGCAATGGTGTTTCCTGCTGAAATCAGGGATCAGCTGATTGGAGATCAGGAAGTGTGGTGTGAAGACAGGGTGTGAAAGAAGGGAAAGTTAGTGTGTCTGAGGACTGTGTGTGACTAGATGTGTAAATAAAAAAGAGTGATAGTGAGTAAAAATATACAGTATGTGCAGTCATGTATACAACAGGCTCACAGAGTGGTGGGGCCTGTCTGTTACAGTCACCTTGCAAATCCTGAGTTCAATGATAATTTTTCAGAAAGTTTCAGAACATTTTATGATTACAGAAAAAGCAAACAGTATATTATTTTCAGTAAAAATTCATGATCACTGAATGGTTCACCTCATTAATTTTTCACGTTATACGGTGTTTATCTGTTGAATTAAACTAATTGCTATATGTGTATGTATATTGACTAATTAGTTGAAATATGAATGAGCTGTCTCTCTGTGTAAAAAGAAGAAAAAGAAAAGAAGTTAAAAAAATTCTGTTTAGTTTATTAAATTGAATAATTACTGTTTTTATTTTAATTTCCTTAAGCCATTTTACACCCCTTTATATCCTAGATATGCAACAGATGTCCATAAAGCCCATAAAAAAATCACAATATCATAATCATAATAATGACTTTTTGCTTTGTGTCCATAAGTTTAGGGCAAAATTCTGTCAAGTTAATGTTATGCAGGTCTTATTTCAGAAGCAAAAGCAAAGCTTTGAGTGGTGTATCTTTGCATTGGCATGGCAATACAGTACCTTGTAGTTCTCCACGACTTTCCTAGTATCAGCCAGAAAATTACAGAAGTCCAGGTCTTCAATTTTTCCAAAAGCCATGTTAAACAACTTCAGCTGTAGGGGAACACACAATAAGAAACAATCTGTAAAATTCCTGTAATCAACACTCTTCAAGTGACTTATAAAGCATGCTAAAACAATTTGATATTTTCTAAAATATGTCTTTTGAGCCTGGAAAATTAATGAAACTTTCTCCTCTTTTTTTGTCGTTTGTACCCTGATTTGAAAACGCTTAAGAGAAACTAACATTAATAAAGAGAAAAGCAGCTTAAGTGTTAAATAATTGTACAACCTAAAACTTTCTCCTACGAGTTCAGTGGAATATGGATGGAAACGTTAAAAGCTAATTTAAAATTAAATCACAGTAGTGATGATGCTTTTTGATGCTTTTTGCTCTTTTGACCATAGTTTTCAGGACAGTGAGCAGCACTGTGAGATCCGTTCTTGTTATTTACTTTTATGTTTATGCCGAGATGTTAACTGATGAAAGAATCAGCAAATAATGTTGTTAAATACCATGAAATATTTTATTTCTGTCACTTTGTACAGTAAGTGCAATTCTGACATATTTATGTAAATTGCTTGTCTCCGACCTAAGATATTTTCCACTTGTGTGCACTTTTGGTGAAACAACAATAATTAAAATGTTGGGCTAAGAAGTGAACATGATTAGGACATTAAAATATTTAGGAAATACAAAATATACTACCTTATAACAGGGATGTCTTCCACTGTAGTAGGGATTAAATATCCTCAGATTATGCACACTTGCTTTGTTTTCATCCCACTGTGATTTTGCGTCCTGGGCACACTGACCCAGCAAACTGACAACCTATAAAATAATTATAAGGCAAACATCAAAAATATAGCTGAAAGCAAAATATTTATTCCAAGGTAAAACAAAAATCCTCATGTCAACTAAATGAAAGTGCAGCGTAGTAGCCAAGTCTAAAAAATATACCATATATTATGTTAAGTGATCAATGATTTTGGTGTGGAGGAAGGAAGAGAAAAGTACAGAATACAGGAAAAGAAAAGGCCATTTTTCTGGCTTCTCACAAACCTATTTAATCGAAATGCTGTTTTTTCTTAACTCCGAAGTTGATAAATAAACTGTGGTTATTCAGCATGGTGGTCACTCAGCACGCAGCAAGACCAAAGGACCCCTGAGCCCTTGAGTCACTGCAAACCCCAGGACAGCCCATTCTTCCGTTTGTCATTCTTTCTCAGGCGTATCTGTTTTGTTTTTGCTTTCTCTTATTTTCCTTATTGTCCCGTCTAAACTCACTCTTCTGAATCTTAAGCCTCATGCTGCATCCTTTCCTTCTTTCCTCACGCCCGAAGAAGGCTCCACGGGCAAAATGTTTGTTTTCTTCTCTTTTCAGCATGGAATAAGCCTTTATTTGTTCCTTTGCAGGCTACACATGCTGACACAGCTCCCTGCTTGAACGTCTTTCCTCCATGTTCTTTAATTTAATCTTGCCTCTTCTCCTGCTTTTATTCTCCGGCGTCCGATTGGGCCCCAGGTTCCTCCCTCTTGTCCTCCGTAGCTCCTGTCACCACCTCCTCGGCCCAGGGTCTGTACGGTGTCCTACCTCTGGCTCAGTCAGCAGCTGCCCAATGACTTGGAATCCTGTTTTGTTTGTGTTTCTATCCTCAGCGTCCTCAAGTTCATTCCTCTTGTCCTCTGTTGCTCCTGATGCCACCTCCTCAGACCCTGTTCCACTGTGGCTTAACCGAATTTCAGGCAGGCAGTGCCAAGCCACCTCTGCTTCTGGGGCAGTGTGGTGTCTTCTCAGTTACAGCATTACAGCTTGAGTCCAGAGCCGGTGCCCATACCTGATAAAATGACTAGCTGCCCCGAGGAGGGGCATCCATTGGGCCAAGACCCCCAGAGTTTTTCTCCCAATGGGAGTTTGTGTTTTTCTCTCTCTACCCAGCAGTTAGTCCCCCACACTTAACTCACACCAGGAGTTTGCAAAGTCAACAGGTTAATATAGCTCAGCATCTCCTTTGAGCTGGCCGCTCCATTCCTTCACTATACAGTAGCTCCCTTTTTTTGCACTTCGATACCCGTTTAAACCCCAGCCCAACCCACAACAGTAGTCTCCATTATCATGCCAGCTGTTCCGCTCCCTCATAACATTCTCATTTCCACTGACCCTACACTCTCTGCCCCATGACTGCATCCCATTGTGTCTTTCCACCGTCTGTCACTCACAGTGGTGCTAGAAAGTTTGTGAACCCTTTAGAATTTTCTGGATTTCTGCATAAATGTGACCTAAAATATGATCAGATCTTCACCTAAGTCATAAAAATAGATAAAGAGAACCCAATAAAACAAAGATCACACAAAGGGTTATACGTTTTCATTCATTTATTGATCAAAATGATCCAACATTAAATGTCTTTGTCGGAAAAAAGTATGTGAACCTCTAGGATTAACAAGTCAATTAAGGGCATAATTAGAGTCAGCAGTGTCAATCAATGGGATGACAATCAGGTGTGAGTTTGGGTGGCCCTGCCCTATTTAAAAAACATCAACCTGAGTCTTCACTACCAAAGTCTGGTCTTCACCACACAGGTTTGTGAACGCATGCCATGCCTCGATCAGAGGAGATTTCTGAGGACCCCTGAAAAAGAGTTGTCAATGCTCAGCAGGTTGGAAAAGGTTACAAAACAATTTCTAAAGACTCTGGGCTTCACCAGTCCGCTGTCAGGCAGATAGTGTACAAATGGAGGAAATTCAACACCATTGTTGCTCTCCCCAGGAGTGGTCGTCCAACAAAAATCACTCCAAGAGCAAGGCTTATAATATTCCAAGAGATCACAAAGAAGCCCAGGTAATGTCTAAGGATCTGCAGGCTCTCTAGCACTGGCTAATATCAGTGTTCATGAGCCCACCATCAGGCAAACACTGAACAAGAATAGTTGCATGGGAGGATAGCAAGAAGGAAGCCTCTACTCTCGAAGAAGAACACTGCTGCCAGTTTAAAGTTTGCTCAAGACCAGCTGGCTGAGCCAGAAGTCTACGGGAAGAATGTTCTGTGAATGGATGAGTTGAAAATAGAACTTTTTGGCTTAAATTAGAAACGGTATGTTTGATCAAAAACCAAACACTGCATTCCAACATAAGAACCACATCCCAACCGTGAAACATGGTGGGGGCAGTATCATGGTGTGGGGCTGTTTTGCTGCCATGGGATCAGGACGGCTTGCCATCACTGATGGAACTTTGAATTCTGGATTGTACCAGCAAATTCTTATGGAGACTGTCAGGAGATCCGTCCGTGAACTGAAGCTCAACAGAAGATGGGGCTTGCAGAAAGACAACAACCCTAAACACACAAGTCTGTCAATGGCCGAGTCAAAGTCCAGACCTTAATTCAATAGAGATGTTGTGGCAGGACTGAAAGCGGGGAGTTTATGCTAGAAAGCCCCCCAACATTACTGAGTTGAAGCAGTTCCGTAAAGAGGAATGGACCACAATTCCTCCAAGCTGACGTGGAGGACTGATCAACCGTTACCGTAAACGTTTGTTTGAAGTCATTGCTGCTCAAGGGGGTCACACTGGTTACTGAATGCATAGGTTTACATACTTTTTCCGACAAAGACATTTAATGTTGGATCATTTTGATCATTAAATGAATGAAAAAGTGTATCCCTTTGTGTGTTCTTTGTTTTATTGGGTTCTCGTTATCTGTTTTTATGACTGAAATGAAGATCTGATCACATTTTTGCAGTCAAATTTATGCAGAAATTCAGAAAATTCTCAAACTTTTTAGCACCACTGTACGTTCTGCACACAATGAACTTCTGTCTCTGCTGAGTCACCTCAACTATGCCATGCAGGTTATACCCCACAGGTGATCTTTTATTTCATGTCTTCTCAAACTAGCTTCGGTAGTGTGGTCCTTACACTTCTCCTACTTGCAATTTGAAGTAAAAACCCTTCTTAGTCCTTAATTCTACCAGGATCTCTGTCCAGTTGCTCTTTATTCTGCTTTTCCCCTGAATTCCCCTTTATATCACTGCCTCCAGCTAACTTGAAATACTACACTATCTGGATTTACACCTTGCACCCTCAGTTCCTCCTTGAAAAAAAGTTTTCAATCTTTCCACCTCTTCTCTAATGTAAACTTAACTTAAGATCTGAGCATAACCAATTTAAGTCCACCTCCATCAGCCCTTGAGCCCCGACTCGCTCTGTTGGTAGAGCATGAGACTCATCATCTCAGGGTAGTGGGCTTGTGTCCCACACCGGGTGCCAGGTCCTCCAATTACCCATATTGGGCAGCAGCAGTATGGGGCAGTGCTGACGGCACATTTCTGTGACAACAGCAACAACACTCACACTATCTGCACCGAAGAAATGCCTGGCGATCTTCTTCCGTATCCTGCCATGAAAACTCTATGGGTAGTGACGGGGGAGCTGTCCATAGGGTCGCCATGGGTCAACACTGACTCGCTAAGAGCTAATTGTGCTCTCCAAATGTCCAAATCCAGATGGGGAAAGACGGTGTTCTAATCAACAAGCAATAGTGATTAAACAACACATCCTGTCCTGAAACATCAGGCTTAAACATGCACGTAAATAGGTTTTGTCTGTGGGACTTTTATTATATGTATTGCTACTGAAATGTCTCTAACTTCCTAATGCCATCGCTGAAGATTGCAGAGATGAAGACCACCTTTTAAACCAGAGATTTTAGGTTTGTTTTAGAATTTATAACAAATACAAAACAAGCGTCAATTAGCTAACAATAAAACTTATTACAACAAGGAACACATTAGATAAATGCATTTTGCATGGAAAATACTGCATAACAGTGCAAAAAAATCTGATTTTAACTTTTTTTTTACCTCTTCAATGAATTTCTCTCTTGTTTCTTTCAGACTACGTATAGTTTGTATCATTATTTGTTCATGCTGGTATGTAAAGTTGTCCTCCCAAACCTGTTTGAAACTAAACAAAGGGAAATGAACCGGAAAATGGGATAGCAAATTAGATTTTACATCATACACCACATTTTGAGCTTTGTTATGACATCATAAAAATAATATGCAAAAAAAGTCCAGTCTGTAATTCCCTGTGTTCTAAATCACTCTTTCTCAAAATCCTACACTGTCACTATACTCTTTATGCTTTATCAATGTCTATATTCACCTATTGTTTTAATCGTCTATTTACTGAACACAATATGGTTCCGTAAACAGCTGATTGTTTTAGTTGTGCAAACAACAAGGAGGCCAATGGCCTGAATTTCTTGCATACAGGACTGGGAAAGTACTTTGGAGCACACCGACAAACAGATCTGTTTCTGCCAAGTGTGTGACAAGCAGGTGGCCGGTGACGTTCCTGAAGTATGTTGTATAACAAAGAGAACACTCTTCCCATGATTTCAAAGTGACAACTGGAATGACCGGGCCGGGA